AATAACTCCAACAATTGTCTCGGAGTTTACATGTTTCGTAACGTCAATCAAGTTCCAGATTGTTATATTATTCCAAAATTCATAAGGAATGCTACAATACAGTGCATCGGTGATTCATGGGACAGTGCATATGGATCTAAATTTGGCAACAGTGGTTCTTTCTTATGGAGAACCGACATGATTAAGAATTTCATCAGTCCTTTATTAGCTAGTGAATCATGTGATAGTGCCAAAAAAAATCATTTCAGAGACCATGAAATCATTGTCGGATAATGTTCGTAAGGAGGTTGAATCTATGCCTTAAGAAAGCAACAAGGATGCATTTGGAAACAAGGGTTCTACAAGTTCAACTATAAATATTAAAGATCCTGAGATATTGGGGCCATTGGGGAGCGAAACATAAGGTGGAAGAGTGCAATTGAGATAAGATCAAGACAAGCAAGTCCAAAACAAAAGAAAGGTGCAGCTTTGAGGATGAGGAAGACTATTTACAAAAGGGTGAACTTTGATAACCCTGATTTGATCATGTTAATAATCAAGGTGGTCAAATATAGCATAAAGATGTTTGATTTTTTTTACATGTATTGATGATTTTTTTAGTGTTATTTATGAACAATGAAGATTGTTATAACAGAAATAATTGTGTTATGATATTGTGAAGTTCTTTTATATATAGCGTTGTCTTGTGATTCATAGATGAGATCCGCGAATTAAAATGGATGAATAGTTATATTATACCAATGAATAACTATTTTAAATCGAGGAGTAATTGGTTTTTAAAATATAGAAAGTTGCAATGAATATCAATGTAATAATGATGAACAACCTTCTTTAAATTGATAAATAACCTGTCATACACTGATGAATATACAATGGATAACGTGTATCATATTGATGAATTTGTACATTGCACTGATGAATTAACAATTCTTCGATGGTTGTGTGAATATTGTTAAATATAATTGTGCATATTCGTTTTTTCATAACCCGAGTTGCAAATTTATCAGTGAATAATCATGGATTAATGATAAATTAACAATTCATTGATAAACTGATTAAAAAAACTAAAAAGAATTCATATACATTATAGTAAGGAAAATACTTTAACAGTTGCCGTTAATCGGAATGAACATTTGTTCAACAAAAGAGATGTTCCAATTCAATAAACAAACTGTCTGAACACATCAATTCCAGTATGAGGATATATTTATTCATCATACTGAGTTGTGGTTGTTTTTATCATCATCTCGATATAATTATTCATCATTCGGATATCATTATTCATCATGAGTTTATGGTTGTCTTTATTCATCCTTTTGGTCAGTACATATTCTATAGAATGTAAATATTATGAGATACCCTTTGCTCTGATAAAATGAACAACTACTTCCCAATTGATATATTTTTATGCTTTAATGATAAATAATAAATTCGACTGATTGTTGAGTATAATAATTAAAAGTTATAATCATTGTGATATTTATAAACATAAAATAACAAAAGTTGTCTTAAATCAAATACTGAAAACCAAAATAAACATAAAATAACAAAAGTTGTTCCAAATTCACTAATCAAACTGTCTGAATTCATCAAAAACAATAAGAGTTTTAGGCTCTATGTGTTTCTTGCAGCGTGCAATTCTTTGATCCCCTCCGTGATGGTCATTGATTTGGTGTTGACGCCCGAGGTCAGCAACTCTCTAGGTACTTTATTCTAAGCTGATCAAGTTTATTTTTGATGTGTATCCTTTTGTCTCTGAATATGCAATTGACGAATAACAATTAATAATGAATAATTTCGTCATGTATCAAAAAATATTATCAATATTAATCTTAAGTCTAATTACCGGTGTTATGCCTAGTGGAGGGATTCCACAGTTGTTAGCCTTGCGAGCACGCGCTGTAAGTCTTCATGTAGCACATCATATATACTGCGCAGTCTGTTCTATTTTCACTGTTGCTCCATGAAAGATTAATAATCTTTGGTTCTTTCAGCTTTCTAAGTCTAGCATATGCAATTACCTACCATTTTGAATCAGCATACCTGGCAAAAGCTTCAACCTGTTTTTAGGCAATTAAAGCATTATTCAGTATTCATCATTTGAAGATTGTTATTCATCAATACAGCATAATGTAATTATTATCAGAATACATAATATATTACCAAAAACTTATAGGTTTCCCCATATTTGGCATCAAACGGAATATTTTGTTTGATAGCTGTATCCATATTGTCCAGCACTTCCACCCGGCCGTCTTGCTGTTGAACACATAGAGGTAATAATGAACGTGTGCAAGTACAGGGACAAATGGCTGCATTTTTCATGTTGTTAGTATAAATTTTAATTCGGGAGAGATATTAATTCGGAAGAGATATAACATTTCAACATTATAACTATTCAGTTTACACACTTACTTGGTTTGCATTATCAAACTTTTAATTGCTGATTTTTGGCATCCAGCTCATAACTAATTCTGTAAATTGCATTTACATAGCATGTCGCCAATGGCATTTTATTAATATCACTAGGTATTTGTTGCTGTTAATAATAAGAGCATAATTGATATTAATATATAAAATCAGATGCTTAACTTATAATAATAGATGATTATTATAAAATTATGATGAACGATTACATGGAATAACAATTGTCAATCTTACCGATATCATGGATGAAAAGTAGATGTTGGGATATTTGGTCCTTGCTCCAGCTGCTAAATGGTTCATGTGGTCTGCCCAAGCATCAACTACTTCATTACTTATTTGCACTCCAGGGATCATTGTTTTGATGTTATGTCGTGGGACGAAAATGTATTCAATCTTGGGTTCTTTATCTTCTCCTGGCATCTCAAACAAAGTTTGACAGTATATGATAGATGTAAGACGTAAATACAAGTTATGTGATCGACATAAGTAGTTTAAAAGACGAATAACATTAACAATATCATAAATTGGTTAGATTAGGGTTTGTACATGTCGTTCCCATCCGCAAATGCATAATTAGATATGTGCCTTTCAATTTCAGTGATTCCTTTAATGTTCTTTCCATCTTTTTTCCATAATGATGACTTATCAGATATTTGAAGTTCTCTTCTTTTTTTCTTTGGGTCTTGCTTTTCCCCACTGAGAACACTACAACAATACAAGATGAATAATGTTATGTTAATAATGATTAACCAATTTGAATTCGTTGAATATTAATAGTGTAAAATATGAAACAGAATAGTATACCTATCAATATACTCTTTTATCTTTTCTTCCCTGACACTTTGCTGATTTACTTTGCTGATTTGGGTTATCACTTGTACTGTCAATTATCTTTTTTGGTGTAGAGAAAATAGATGTTGCACCTTGTATAACGCTATCAAGGTTTTCCTTCTCAACGGCAGTCAATCCTTCAGTCACATTTGCTTCATGATGAACGACTTTAGCTCGTTTTCTGTAGATTTGATTGTAATTTTAACATTGGTCATCTCATAAAGGAATGATGCAGGAATAGGAATGATGCAGGAATATAAGGTACATGATGAACACGAATACAAATTTATACTGATGCATGAATCATGTTATATGATGAACATTGTAAGATCAAAAGATGAATAGCAATTAAAAAAATACCTTCAATCTCCATCTGGGTAAGCCCAAGACTCCAGTTTGGTTGTGATGAAATTACATTATTGTCTCTATTCTCCTGGTGCTTATCGACGGGGTTTGACGATTTTGATGCAACTTCAGCTAGTTTTGCTGTAGTTTTGATTGTAATTTTTATATTGGTTATCTTATAAAGGAATGATGCAGGAACATAACGTACATGATGAACATGAATACGAATTTATACCCATGCATAAATTATGTTATGTGATGAACATTAAAAGATTCAAAAGATGAATAGTAATTACATGATGAACATGAATACAAATTTATACTTATGCATAAATCATGTTATATGATGAACATTAGAAGATCAAAAGATAAATAGCAATTATAAGAATACCTTCAATCTCCATCTGGGCAAGCCCAAGACTCTAGTTTGGTTATGATGAAATTAAATCATCGTCACCCTTCTCCTGCTACTTATCGACAGGTTTTGACAATTTTGATGCATCTTCTATGAAGCATCCAAACTTTCTTAAGCATTCAATCATCTCTTCACTGTTGTACCAATCATCCAACTGGCTTTCTATGTCAATTCCGTTGCCCAAAAAACTGTCATGTTCCGCCGGCTGCTGTTGTCCTTCATTTCTTTGTTCGCCATCAACATTTTCAGGTTCTTTGGCAGTATCAACAACCATGTTGTTGATCATTTTTGTGTAGTTGAAGAATAACCTCGCTAGCTCAGATTAGCTGCTAATTCCTGCAGATTTTACTTCTTAAAAAAGTGTTCCAAGTTTTAATATCAGTGGCCCCACTTCATTGATCATTATATCCTGAAATCTTTCGGTCAAATCCAGTTCCTACAATATATTTGTACTTTGATTATTGATATGTCAATCATAAAAAAAAACATAAATTGTAATAAAATAATAATTGAAAATGCTCTATTCGGGTACTGTACCTTGACAGTCTGTTGTTGTTCAGGAATTGGTTCAGGGATTGGTGTTGGAGCTATAGGCTGTTGGTGAATAATACCACTCCTGAAACCATTTCCTTTTCTCTCGTGTGCTGCCCTTTTATTCACATCATCAGTTGTCCAATGGGCAATGACTGGAAATGTTCACGTTCTTCTACATTTTGAATCTGGTACAACACAATCCATGTATGTGAGCTGCAAATGTTGTGCAAGAATATTAAAATAGATGAACAACTATATGATATAAATGAATATCAATCGACAACTGAAGGATTAAATATCAGATTGATTATTACCACAAGAAAGACAAGTGGCCCTGTATAATGTCCTGGATTCCTTTTCCAATCCAATACGGAGAACTTAAGTGTTGTAATGATGTATTCACACTATTTCAATTCTTTGATCCGTTCTACATTGATCAGGGAGTTCATCAGCTGAAAACGGCACTCCGGTGATCTTGTTCTCCAGAATATACTTGATACAACTCCGATGATGAACCATCTTTTGAACTTATCTTCGTAAATACGGTCTGTAATATCTTTCGGGTTCGAATCCTTGCCTTTTTTTTCATCCTTCCACCAACCAGATGATTCATCACTTTAGTTGCTGCTGGACCTCCTCTGTTTATATCTAAACCAAATGTTATTCTCATTTTTTCAACCAGCCTTGTGTAGTCTTCATTAGTTTTTCCTTCAATGTAGTCTACGACTTCATACTGACCTCGTGGTAAGCCCAGTACGGCCTCCACATCTGCCTCATCTATTGTCAGCACTTGGTTTTCTTGCATTATGATACGTGAAAATTGGGGGCTGTTTGATTACCATGGAAAAAACATAACATTAATAATCTCATTAAAATAACTATATTAATCTCATTAAAATAACTACATTTAGTTTGATTGATGCATGTGAAGTCAAATTTTGATGAATATACATAAAGGAAGAGATGAATAATAATTTAATATTGTTGAGTAATTACTTACTCATAGTTTTCCAAAAGATATCTGCACAAATCTGTGTCGTCAAACCTCTCAAATTTGATATCCAGAAGATGTCCAAAATCGATTTTCCGGACAACCTTTTTTTGTACGTCATCCAGTTTTCCAACAAAATCGCATACAGCATGGGATGAAACTCTAGTTAGGAGCGGGTTGTCTTCATCTTGCCTGCTTTTCCTTTTTTTAGGCTGGCCCTTCTGTGTTGTTTTGTCTTTTGGGGTTCCTTTCTGGCCTCTGAATAAAAAATATAAACCACTTAATATATATTATTAATGAACAACGCAACGACCAATAAACTCAGTCAATCTGGAATTTTTTTGCTTTACCTTTGAACTTTTGCACTTTTCTTCGAACCTTTATCAGATGCAGGTGATGCTTGTTCTTTATGCTGCTTCATAGTCTTTTGTGGGTTGACGTTTTTCTTGCTTTTATCTGTGGTGTTGCCACTAGTACACAAACAACATATGTGAGATAATTTATATCAAATTGAAAAATGAATGAATAACATATCACAAATAATGCATATTGATATATAACTGATGAAAACATTGTTTTAACTAGTGAATATCAATAATGCATAGAGATATATTACCTTTGTACTTTTGTTCGATTCTCTGATTTATTTTTTGCTCCATGTGGCGCTTCTTTTTCCTGTTGTCCCGTTGTTTTGTCCGAGTGTGGGACTCTTTTCCTTCTAGGATTGATTTTGTCACTGGTACATAAACAACAAAAGTATAATGATCTACATTGTATTGAAAATGATGAATAACAAATCATAACTTATGTATATTATATATAAATAACGTGTATTATTATATAAATAATGAATGATACCAAATAATTATTTATTAAATGTTTAGTTTAACATGTTTGGATGAATAAACCTAAAATTCAAAATGAATGAAATACGCATATTACCTCTTTTCAACACCGGAGACGCTCCTAGTCTGTTTAGTTCCCTGTCCCTCTATTTGTATCATTACATCCAGTGATTCTATATTTCTTTCATTTCCAGATATCCTGCTTTGTTGGGGAGCTTCTTTAGCTTTTCCCTTTTCGTTACTGCATTACGGTTAGTTTCGGATAAGCATTATATTCTAACATATACTTTTAGTTTGTATCACAATGGCAATGAATAAATAAGTCAATCTAATGAATAACTAGGAAGAGATAATGAATAATCTATTCACAGATAAATTTAACATAACAAAAAAGCCACAAATATATGATGAATAATGATGTCGATATGATGAATACTGATACCGAGACGATGAATACTATCAAATCTATTAACAATTTATTAAAGTAACCATAGAACGCTGAACAAGGTTAAAACATTGATGAAGTAACATGTTAAAAGATTAATAATGATGGAAAACTGATGAACAATGCATAAATCTATTAATTTTTTCCAAAATCAACATGTCGATGAACAAAAGTAATAAATTGATGAACTAACATCAGTAATTAAGAGAATAGCCTTAGATCTACATAATCCAAATATGCAGCTGACCACAAATATATGATGAATAATGACATCGATCTGATTATTAATGCTACCGAAATGAGAAATACTGTCAGATCTATTAACAATTTATCAAATCAACCATAAAAGACTAAACAAGATTAAAAATTGATGAAGTAACATGTTTATAGATGAATAATGATATAAAACTGATGAACAACGCCTAAATCTATTAATCTTTTCCAAAATCAACCACAAGTCGATGAACAAAACTAATAAATTGATGAACCAATATTAATAATCGAGTGAATAATCTTAGATCTACATAACCCATTAAAAAAAAACAATTGTTTAAGAGAACGGGAGTATTACCTCATAAATGGATCAGAATCCGAATCAGAATAAACGATCGTAACTTTTTGCATAAATGTTTCGGATCAAATATCAATATTTCAACTTCATAAATGAAAGAAACAAGCAAATCTGATGAATACTTGATGAATTTAACCATAATTTACCTTAATTTTCATCGTCTAGGAACCAAAAACCACTAGTTTGATGCAAAATATGAGTTCTTCTCAAAAGTACTGCCACTGGAGCTTCTATTTTTGTATCACCAGAGGAGTGAATTTTTTGTATTTTTCGAATGTTTTGGTTTGAGACAGAATAGATTGAAACGAATGGGAAGATAGATTTGGGTAATGGCCGGAAATTAAGAGAAAATGACGGTTATCGAGATTTGAAAATCAAAAGGTCGCGCATAATGGGTATTTAATGGGTGCGTGTTGGTCACTCGGGTGGCAATATTATAATTTTCGAAAGTTTCATGTTGTTGGGCTCATAATGTAAGTGTACCTAGGACCCCTGTATTATAATTGCAAACCAATCGCAGGACCAGACAACTAGTAATTTGTACCCGCATAAAAGTCACGCCTTTGGTTGCGCCTTTTCACGATCGGACCAGCTAAACGCGAATATCGATGTTGAAAATGAACATCCCCAAAATTCTCTCCCCCATTTCCACCCTCATCAAACCCTAACCCCTACAATTTTACCAATCAATTTCAATAATAAATGCAATGGAAGGAGGTTCGGCAGCTGCGATTGCCGCCGGGGGCGGCGGAGGTGGTGGAGGTCCGGCGCCATTTTTGTTGAAAACGTATGATATGGTTGATGATTCAACCACCGATGACATTGTTGCGTGGAGCTCTACTCGGAAAAGCTTTGTTGTATGGAACCCGCCTGAGTTTGCTCGGCTCCTCCTCCCAACCTACTTCAAGCACAATAACTTCTCCAGCTTCATTCGCCAGCTCAATACCTACGTATGTTTGATATTCTTGTTATGGAATATGGCCTTGCGATTATAATTGGGTTTGAATTTGTTGATTATGTGCTTTTACTTCCTTAATCAGTATTCTAATGGTTATAATTCGCTGCCTCTCTTGTGCTCAGTTGCTCTCTTGTTTTTTCTTTTGGTAAATATTTTTAGTTTGCGGCCTAATTTTCTCTGGCTAGCTTGATTTGGGGGAAAAAACGGGTTTTTGGGTGTGGGTTAGAGGGGAGATTCGTTTGGAAGTTATGCTGACAAGGTGGGATTACATATGCTAAAGTGACTAAAGGGTGCTTACTGTTGTGTTTGTTATGTGTGCTTTTTTCTTCTTGTTCCTAAACTACCGGATGTGTTTCACGGTTGAGTATGGTAATCGACAGCAACATGTTTCATTTGTGGATATGAAGTTCTTGCTAATGAAAACAACATTTGTGTTTGATATGAACTTATCCTCTATCTTCAAATCTGGTTATGAAAAGGATTATGACCACTTGTCGCGGAGTATTACCTTCCATTAGTTAATAATGAATGCTTTAAGCATCAAGGTTTTCAATATGTGGGAATATCTGACTACAGGTTAATGTCTTTTAAGTAATGAGGTTAATAGCTTAGTTAATGGAAAATTACACAAGGGAATCGTGTTGGGAAGCCTTTCGCAAAAGTGAAATAATGGAGATAATAAAGAGGTTCTTGTTTAGTCTAGGACTGCTTATTTGCGTTGAGGGGTTCTAGTTTGTTGTCAGGGACAATGATTACTGAGTTTAGGCTCAAATGTTTGTTCTTTCTCGGTTTTTGTGCGACTTGATATGTGTAACTGCTGCCAAATTCGATATGGATGTTTGACCACTAAAAAAAAGGGGGAAAAAAATAGCAGGTTATTCACAGTGTGCGTGTGCTCTGTATTATCTGCTATATCATTGGTTTCCTGTGTTTTCTGCCACTCCTTTTGGGGTTATATAGAAGAGACTCGGTAAAGAAATTGTTATGGTTTAGCTGGTTAACGCGAGCTTCAGCTTTTTTTTGCAAATGTGATGTCCGAATATTGGTACTAAACTGCTTCTGTTGTCCTTATTTTGGAGGAGCGGCATTGTGTCATTCTCTAGAATAGAATGTTCAGTTCCTTCTATGTTTCTTTGATATCAAATTTGGTCCTCTTCTTGAGATTGTTTGAAGCTCGAAGTTAATGTGCTTGAGGCTATTGTTATCATTGCTTCTTACAGCCCATTGTCAACATCTAATAGCATTCAATCTTTTCTTTTACTCTTGGCTCTTGAATCAGCAGAAACCCTTTTTGTTTTCTGTTGAAGTAACTTTCCTTCCTATAATAGTTTTAAGTGTGCCTATGGCGTTGTCGATAGTTCCCTCAAATATATTTATTGAGTTTTTTGAGTTTCGTAGGGATTCCGGAAGATAGATCCTGAGAAATGGGAATTTGCTAATGAAGATTTTGTGAAAGATCAAAAACATCTTCTGAAGAACATTCATCGTAGGAAACCCATACATAGCCACAGCAATCCTCAAGGTACCGCAGACCCAGAACGAACAGCTTATGAGGAGGAAATTGATAAGCTATCCCGTGAGAAAGCTGCTCTTGCAGGTAATGTCTTAAAGTTCAAACAGGAGCAGGCTACTGCCAAAGTTCAACTGGAAGATCTTACTGAACGCCTAGGTAATATTGAGCAAAGGCAGGGAAGTTTGCTGACCTTTCTGGAGAAAGCAGTTAAGAATCCAGATTTTGTTGAACAACTTACTCAGAGGCTTGAGTCAATGGACGTATCTGTATACAATAAGAAAAGGAGATTGCCTGAGGGTGATGAACCCCTATCTGATCGAGATTTTGTGATGGTTGACAACCATAGCAGCTCTAAACCTGAGTTTGGTTTCCCTCAGGACTTCTGTGATAAACTCAGACTAGAGTTATCACCAGCCGCAGATAATAACTTGCTCTCTCATAGTACTCAAAGTTCAAATGAAGATGGGGAAAGCTCGTCTAAGAGAATATCTGATAGGTTGCAAAAGGATTTACACAAATCTGGAGAAACCCTGTATGGCCAAGAAACTTTAGAGCTATCTGATACTGGCACGTCATTTGGTCTAAAAATGGATTCACCTCTGTCGCAAAGAGCAGAAGGTAGCGACACCCCTAAAGTAAATAGCTTCCAGCAATCTTTAACTCCTAATGAAGAAGCCGATTCTCAAATCAGTTGCCATTTAAATCTTTCTCTGGCTTCTTCTCCATTGCCTGTCAGTAAGAATCAGTCTCCGGCCAAAACAGTCCATGTGGCTAACGAAACTGGCATTTGTTCAGATACAAGATCAAAGACTGATGGCAACGAGGTTGACCGCAGTGCTCCATTCAAGAACCATCTTTCTGATGGCAGCACATCTTTGTCACCCTCAAAAAATAACAAGCACGTGACTCCTAGTCCTCCAGCACGGGCAAATGATGGATTCTGGGAACAGTTCCTGACAGAAAGACCTGGTTCCTCGGACACTGAAGAAGCAAGTTCTAATTTCAGGGCTCATCCCTATGATGAGCCAGAAGCAAGAAAAGTAGACCAAGGATTATCCAAGAACATAAAGAGTGCTCAGCATCTTAGCCTTTGATGAGCGTATAACTCGGTAATTGAGCTCATGCTATAGATGCTTTCTCTACTTAAGGTTCTTGATAAATATTATAGAATGAATCAGCGAGCCAAGATGTACATGTTGTAGAATATTTATACTCAACTCCAAGTCATTTCCGCTGGTTTGGAAAGTTCTTTTTAGACCTCTCGGTTTTCAACACGGAAGATCTTGAAACTTTGTTACTGTACTATACATGGTGGCACTGGTAGTAAATTTGATAGCATGTGTCACCGGTTGTGTCAGTGGTGGTCCATTAGGGAAATAATGTAACATTGTGTTAGGATTTTTTGCAGTTTTGACTTATGATTTATAACAAAAAACATGTCATTCCACTGGAAATTTATGCTTGTTTGATTGGTTCTTGGACTTTACATCAGAATTACTGCATCACCAACTCCTGAGAATCATACAGGAAAATTCTGAGACGGGGAAATTTTAGCTGTGCCATAATTTGGGGAAGGTTTCCGAATCCGAAAGGGGAAAGCACTCATCAGTAGACATTATCATTGCTTCACATCGACTTTGGGGCCAAAGGTTGAACTAAAGATGGAAGGTAACATGCTGATAACAATCGCCTTTTCGTGCTTTCGTCCTACTTTTCTAGAATGTACCTGAAAAGAATACGTAGAAACTGAGCAAATTTTTTCTTTTTGAAGTCAGAGAACAAGAGTCACTACTGTATAGAGAGGATCCAAAGATTTTGGACTTTACAAAAGGAACAAACAAAACAAAACAAAACAAAAATGATTTTTTTTTTTTTCAAGGAAATGGAGAGCATTTCATCCACCGGGTTACAATGATTGTAGTTAAAAATCATCAATGTTGTAAAACTTGTATCAGGTTTAAGTTGAAGAATAATTAAATGAAACCGTATTAGTCAAATTAGCTAAAATTAATGTCCTATAATAGAGCACCAGCTCTACAACCAAGTATATTACTACTATAATAATAAATAATATCACCGAAAACCAACATCAAAGTACCAAACTTATGATTCTTTATTTTTTTATTTTTCTGTAAAATAATACTCCCTCCGTCCCATAATTATTATCCAATTTGGGTTTTTATTTTTAATTCAAATTGTATTAAAAATGAAATTTTAAACTGGACAATAATTTTAGGACAGAGGGAGTAACTGATATGAAAATTTTGACTTTCCTCCCAAAGGACTCAAAGTTGTCAATTACCAGTTGCCTATCTGTAAGCATATTGTAGGTTGCAGACAAAGCTGAACCATTAAAAAAAAATCTGAAGGAATCTAAAAATCATAATTCATAAGCCAAAAGAAATGTAAGGAGGTTGATGGGTCATTTTCATTTTACCTTAGTTAAAGACTTTCTATACTCTCACATGAATAACATAGAGCATAATAATGGTAGGTGAACACTGTGACCACTACTAATTTATTGTCTCATTCTCCTCATTCGTTCATTCATTCAATTCAATCCCGTTTCAATCTTCAAGCTTTCAAAGACTCACTTTCCTAGTCTCCGCTTCATCAAACCAACAATTCAGGGAAAATCCCAGAAATTAACTCCATCCCATCAATATGCTCCATGTCCATCTTCATCCCTTTAATGTTGTACTAGTTTCATTACTGTTATTGATGACAATGTGTTGTGGGATTCCAGTTTTGGACCTGAATTCTGAAAAAATGGGCGAAATGGATGCTGCAATGCCGAAAGGGGTTTGTGGTGGGATGATTGGGGACTGCCCAACAGTGTCTTTTGAGGAGGAAATGGATTCTGAGAGCAACAGAAGAATGCTTGTTATGCAGAGGAGTTATATAAGTTATAATACGCTGAAGAGGGATTATGCTCCATGTGGGACGCCTGGATCTTCGTACTATAATTGCAGAGCTGGTCCAGCTAATAGCTATAACAGAGGTTGTGAAATGATTACAAGGTGTGCTAGGGCAGGGGATTAGTGAAATTATTGCTGGGCCGCCAAGGAATTTGGTAAAGTTAAAGAGTAAATATTTATCCTTTATTAGTCTAATATATGTATCAAATTTTGGTGGGTTCTGAGAAAAATTATGTTTTTACATGATCTTGGAGCATACTTTGGTGTTAAAAGTTCCTCCTTGATCTGTAAACGGATCTTGAATTTCTTTTGAACTCCTGAAATTGTGTATTCCAGTGCCTTTGGAAATATCATGAATTCTTTAGGTCTGCCTGGCATGCTTTGATTTTATTCAATTGTGGGTCTGATCTTTCTTATTGAGCTGATAGCCTTTTGAAATTTGTAACAAACAGATTGGGTCCTCTGAGAGAAAATTTTGAACCATTAACATGTGAATGAATGAGTGTCTTAATCTTATAGTACATGTTATGGTAGCATAGCTCTCAATCAATTGTGTTTCAAATTATTAATACATCTTCATACCTGCTTCGCTGTGATCCATCATTGTTAGTGTTTAAAGCTGTGACCTGCAGCTGCAGAGCATAGATTGTATTTGTTTCTTTATGTTCTTGAGCAACTTGCATGAGATGAATCGCTGGTTACTATCGTTTTTACCTGGATATGATTTATCATTTGCCTTCGAAAAATGCTGAGGCGGATACCATCCGCGTGTGCAGAAAACTTCAAACTTTTTGTGATATGCTTTAAAGACTAGCCATAAGATCAATGAATAAGATGGATTTTGTACAAGCATATGGCAAAATGTTGCCACTGCTCACCAAACACCCAAGATATTAGAGGTTGCAAATTTTCTCTGTTTTAGGTCTTCATGCCTTGGAAGGTTGCCATTCTCCCCATTAATTTTTATCCACTCAATGAGCAAAAAAGTGAAAACATAAGATAATTGGAAAAGTGTGTTACTAGGGTAAATGAATGTCTTACTCTTGCTTGTATCTCCTTTTAACCCTTTCGCTAAGGCTTTTGATATCTCTCTTTTTCATGACTATGATAATGCTGAATTGTCTGTCTATTTTCATGTTCTGATGGCATAGACCTATGGCAGATTATAATGATCAAATCTTCCATTTTGGTGACTGAAATGACTTTTTATCTTCCATTGTTCGTGTATTACATTCCTCCAATATTGCCATATATAGTAATCTGAACTGATTATGACTTCTCCACTTGTCAGTGAGGAATATGTATGCTGTCTGTATTCTTTAAAGAGACATGTATATCTCTTGGATGATTGTTGCACCTCTAATACTATCATTCATTAGCTTTTCATCCCACTCTCAAGTAGAGAAAAGAAAATGAGATGTTTAAAGAAGTTGATTGGCCTGTGAGGTGCTATGTTTTTTCCCCTCCAGAACAGATGATTATGTGTCTGCTTGTACTACTTTTTTGTTTCCATCCCAGGCTTAATCTCGTGTATCTTGGTAGAATGCTTGACTGCTCGTTGTCACTGTAGTTGATTGTTATCGGTTAATTCCCCGCATGATGTAGTTGCTGCTTACCTCTGAGCATTCGTTTCCCAGAGTTAAACATTGTTCTCAACTTCAGTACTTTCGTGGTTTTATGCTTACCACACGGATGATTCAATTTCAGCTTCCCTTTTTTTTGGCATTTTTATACTTGGGAAAGCTTCTATATTTCTGTCTATGTAGATCGAAAGTAGACGATCATCTTGTTAGAACTTAGAACATGTTCCGAATGGCTGTCTGAGCAATGAGCATCTCTAAGAAATATATATGTAGTAACTATAGCTGCAAAATCTCTTCAATTGTAACTCTTTTCACTCAAGTAGAGAACTGGTTCTTCGTAGGAAGAAACCTTTGACTCCTTTTCCCCGAAAAAAAAAGTCCATTTTGTTCAAAGTGAATTATTTTTTTGGGGCCGAATGAAGTTTGTATGTTGGTTTGTAGAATTTATATTGAAAAAAGTAGCTGATATTTCAGAAATTTGCAACATCACTACAAACGTCACGAAAGGTGAAAGATCAATTTTTCGAGAGTTGTTGGAGTTTGGGAACGTCTCTCACAAACAACCACCGATGTAAAAATAGTTCAAGGTAAAGGATTGTACTTTAGTTCGCCAAATGAATATATTTCTTATTCATAGTTCAACGAAGAGGATTGTACTTTAGATAGAAAAAAAAGGAATATATCTCTTATTTAGGTACATTTGGTGTTGTTAGAGCCATGACTTCGGACACTTGGCGTCGCGTAATATACCAAAAAAAATGTTCGTTTTTCAAGCCTTGTATGTCGAAACAGGATCGATTTCCCCAGAAAAAAACGGTTGTATTGACAGATTTTTTTATTTATTATTATTTTTTTTTTTGGTGAACAAACGTTAGCCTCACTGGCAAACAAGCTAATACAGATTTCAATACGGTTGTATTGACAGATTTCAGGAATGAAGAAGTGGTAGGGAATTGGGGAAGTCCACCAAAATTTAGGGGTTTTTTTATAATGACCCAAAATTTAGTGGCTAAAAAACCAAATACAAAAATAGAATTTTAAGTAACTGGTTTGGTAGAGTTTGATTTTTTTTTCTTTTCTTTTTTCTTTTTTTTTGGAGCAAGAATGGTTTCAACACCACAGATAATCAATACATTAAGATACACAATACATATCTTATCATATATGATATAAAAGCTTACTATTTTAAATTGTGACTTAAGATTTTACTATTACATATTTAATAAATTATGTATGCTTTGTGTGATTCGTGACATGAGATATGTATCTTGTATATCTGATCCAATCAAATCATCATTATGTGCTTGTTTCAATTAGAGTGATAAACAAAATGATGGAAACCTATAGAAGGAATTTACAGAAATATGTAGAAAACGATACTATCAATTTTAAAATGATTTTTTGATTTACTATAAATAAAATATTCATTTTAGAACAAGTAAAACACACACAAAATATATATATATGTCATTTATAATCTTTACTAATGATATTTTTTGCCAGAAAAATTATTTTGTTTCTTTAAAATACCATTTCTTAAAAGTAATTAGCATGCTCCACACACCAAAAACAAAAAAAAATAAAAAATGAAACGAAATTAAATCATTAAAAAAAAAACATTTGCGTAGCAAAAACAAGGAGAAAATCCAGATCCAATTCCTAATGTTTGTTGTCTAAACCACACATCGCTGCGCGTGGTTTCGAATTTGAATCTTTTTTTAAGTATAATAGAATTAGCAGTTCTACTCTAAAATATATCAATAAATAAATATTCCCTCTTTTTTCGAGGTGTTCAGTTTAATACAAATCATACAAGAAATGAAAATAAATTGAAACAATCATTAAGAATTTAATTTATTCTCCATGTCCAATAATAATGAAGTCTCATTTTGATATGGGATAACATTTTATTTTTAGGAAAAAAAAAATACAGCATAAATGTAGTCATTTTTTAAACTGCTTTTTCTCAATTTCCATTATACATGTTAATAATAGTAACCTATACTTCTATTAGTAAAAATGCTATAAGTTGGACTGTGATCATAAAACGAATAGAGTAGAATTCACGCTTCCAAACCTCAGACATTCATGTATTAGATCATCAATTCCATCCCTCTTTTAAAAAAAATCAAAAAAAGGCCATGCAGTGCTTGATAAATAATTTTAGTAATAGTAATCTGCACTTGTATTAGTAAATGAATATACACTCCTCACTCAGCAGGATCCTTTAATGGCCTCATCTGAATTCGTTTTCACCCCAATCTTTTCACTTGAATTAGGAGTAATATTCTCTTCGTTGATGAATATCTTTAATTTAGGATTACCATCAATTTGCAACCTGATATTTGATTAATATTCTCTTCTTTGATGATATCTTTTACTTAGGATTATTCCCTTTGTGTTAAAAGGACCAGAAGTTTTATGATAACGTTATTGCCCTTCTCCGATTGTCATCGCCAACTATTGTGATCCAAATTACGTTTAACAGTATCGTAACTTGATATTGGCAAATTTGATTACGGCAATTGATCAATGTTGGTGGCTGTGAAAACAAAAATGATTACTTTTAAAGTCAGAATTGTGAATTTGTGATATTCAACTCCCAAAGCAAGTGGAAACTGGCAAACGTTCAAATGTTCCTCCTTCAATAATTTTCAATTGATTTCCAAGATTTCGCATACCTAAATGCTTCCTATTTTAAGCTCTATCTGGAGGGCCAAAGTAAGTTGTCTCTCTTGCATTGGCTCAGTTCAGCCACAATAATGCAATTTTCTACACCAACTGGTTGGACTAATGCAGTAACCGCAGGAGATATTTTAAACACAAAAAGATAGTCCAAATTGGCCAAAATAAATATTGGTGGGTAGGTGGTAGTCCATTTCAGGCATCACCTACCAATGAAAATGACAACCCTAAAAGATTCAACAGAAAACACTTCAGCTGTTTCAGAAGCCACAAATATCATTCTAAAACCGAAAAAAGAGAGCGAGAATGAACCATAACAGGGGAGCAATGGAGGGAAAAAATAGTAATTCTTTCTTCTCATTTTCTTGTGGCAACAGAATAACAAAAAGCAAATCATCCTAAGAGTAAAGCAGCTAGTGAAAAAAAAAAAAAACACATCATTCCACACCACCACTGTTCATGCCCTTATTTGCCAACATTTTCTTAGTCTTCATCAAGCTGAGACTATAAGCTTTTTCCCCAAATCGACCCACCAACAAAAAAAACACCTTAAATTATAAAACTACTAGAAAACCTAACATAATCCATGGTATAATAAGAAGAAAAATCCATGCAGTCAAAATGTCTTGTTGCCCGGGGAACACTGCCATTCCTCAGTACCTGTAGTGAGCAGGCTTGTAAGGACCTTCAACAGGTACGCTAATGTAGTCAGCCTGATCCTTGGTAAGCTTGGTAAGCCTAGCACCAAGCTTGCCGAGATGGAGGGCAGCAACCTTCTCATCAAGGTGCTTGGGCAAGACGTACACCTTCTTCTCGTACTTCCCAGTGTTCTTCTCTTTCCACAGCTCAAGCTGAGCAATAACCTGGTTGGTGAAGGAGCAGGACATAACAAAGCTAGGGTGACCAGTGGCACAACCCAAGTTCATGAGACGACCCTCAGCCAAGACAATGATGCCACTGTTAGTTTCAGGGAAAACCCATCGGTCTGTTTGAGGCTTGATTGTGATTCTCTTTACTCCTGGGTAAGTCTCAAGACCAAGCATGTCAATTTCATTGTCAAAGTGACCAATGTTGCAAACAATGGCATTGTTCTTCATCTTCCTCATGTGGCTAACCATGATGATGTCCTTGTTACCGGTGGTGGTGACAAAGATATCAGCCTCAGAAACCACATCCTCAAGGGTAAGGACTTGGTATCCCTCCATGAGGGCCTGAAGAGCACAGATGGGATCAATCTCAGTCACAATAACACGGGCACCAGCTTGTTTCAAGGCAGCAGCACAGCCCTTCCCAACATCACCATAACCACAGACAACTCCAACCTTTCCAGCAATCATCACATCAGTGGCCCTCATCAGACCATCAGGGAGTGAGTGGCGGCATCCATACAAGTTATCGAACTGTCATATCCAACAAAAACAACTGATATCAGAAAATCGTTCATGAATATTTACATCCTAATTTTAAGTACCAACGTCCAATTGCCCATGCAACCAAATTATGGGATACAACCTGAGTCAGCAAGAAGTAACCATAGTACTGAAACTCAGAACGAGACCCAACATTTTTTGAAAACTGATTACAACGACCCAATTAGCAACTGACTATACAAATGATGCATCATCAAATTTCAAACCCAAATAAAACAAAATTCACTTAGATGTGCAAAGTCCAGGTCGATACTAGATAGCGAGGACAAGACTCATGGTCCCAAATTGCAGCAACAAAATATCTGGATCTGAATCAAAATGAATAGGCCTCCTAAATTACCAATGGAAACAATGCAAATACTCCAGTGGCAAATCCTAACTTCAACATACAAGCATATAAAATCAAATCTCAATCATTCAACACAATGAAATACAACTCATACAAATTACCCAATTAAGATACAATTTTGCAATATGCACACTATACATGTTATATACCAGATAACAAAAGTAAAACAGAGCAAAATTGTCAGATCTAAAACCATTAAACTGAAAAAGGTACCTTGCTCTTGGTGACCGAGTCATTGACGTTGATAGCAGGGAACAGCAAGGTTCCATTTTGCTGCATTTGGTAAAGCCTCTTAACACCAGTGGTGGTCTCTTCCGAAACACCGACAAGTCTCTCCTTCATCTTGGTGTACTTTAAGGGATCAGTCTTCAACCCATCCTTAATAATGGTCAAAACAATCTGGAACTCAGCATTGTCAGTGGAAGCGGGATCGGGCAATTTCCCGGTTTTGGCGTACTCTTCCTCGGCTTTAACACCCTCGTGGATCAACAATGTTGCATCACCACCATCATCAACAATCAAATCTGGGCCACCACCAGGACCCCAGTCAAGGGCACGCTCCGTGCACCACCAGTATTCCTGGAGGGTCTCTCCCTTCCAGGCGAACACTGCGGCGCTGTCACGGGCGATGGCGGCGGCGGCGTGGTCCTGGGTGGAGAAGATGTTGCAGGAACACCATCTGACCTCAGCACCCAATGCAGTCAAGGTCTCAATGAGGACAGCGGTCTGGATGGTCATGTGAAGAGATCCAGTGATCCTGGCACCCTTGAAGGGCTGGGAAGGGCCGAATTCAGTCCGGCAGGACATGAGACCAGGCATTTCAACCTCGGCGAGCTCGATTTCGAGGCGGCCGAAGTCGGCTTGGGACATGTCCTTGACTTTGTATTCCCTACCGGAGGTAGTCTTCTCGACCAACAAAGCCATGGCTGAAAATGGGTTTCTGGATCTGAGAAATGGGTTTTTCTCGGATTCCGGATCTGAGATCTCTCTCTTCTTTTACAGAGAAGAATTGGGGGGGTTTTGTAAGATCGAAGAAGAAGAGAGTGGGACAAGGCAGAGAGGAATTGGGGGATAGGGGGGTTATAAATAGGTTTAAGAGATTGGAATGGACGGCTCAGATTTGAGATCTGTGAGAAATGGGTTTGGTGGATTGGTGGATCTGATATTTTTATTTTTATTTTTATTTTTTTCTTTTGAAAATCTTTTGGGGGCTGAAATGTGATTATGATAATTTTGGTATTTGGTAAAACGTAGGGGTCGGAAGCAGATCCAATTACTGTGGAAATGTGGTAAAAGTGTGTCGACAGGGTTAAATCCAAGGAGGAAATCCAGCAATTATAACAGTCACGCACACAGTCGCACACTTGAAGATAATGCTAACCAGTCTCCTATTTTCCAGACCCCCTGTAAAGACGGAAAGACATTTTACTGTAGGAAAATTTAATCAAACTGTTTTTAACAGAATTTTCCAGGTTAATTTCAAGGTCAATCCGAACATAGTTATTGTTCCATCCCTCTAGTAAGAAGATGATATTGTAGGTTAATATTTCGGAGTTTTTTACCCAAATAATTTTCAACAGAAGGACCTGGACTAAAATATATATTCCGAAGTGGTGTGGACAAATCTAGTTGTCTCGGATTTGTCAACCCGAATCTATCCATTTTGTACTAGATTCGGATTTGGCAAATCCGAGACAACTAGTTTTGTCTACTAAAAATAGAAAAAAATTATTTTTGTCAACATTTTTTTTTTGGAAAATTTTTTGGCCGAAGCACACCTAATATTTCGATATAAGTAGCCTTTTAAAATTTGTGGATCAATCGATGATAAATTGACTCGAGTGAATAAGACTGTATAAGTAATGAGGGTTCACCAACTTTTCTGCCACGGTAAAAGCCCAACTTTGAAGCTTTTGGGTGTCCATCAAAAAGCCTTGCCTTTTTGTTCAAAGCAAATGCTAATAAACTAATTCAACTTTTGACGTTGAATGTTAATTATTTATATGATTGTGTTAACATAAAAGATGAAATGGCATAAATGTCTGAATTTGCATGCGTCTTCAACTTAACAGGTTCACGTGAGAGAAAATATTCAGTGCAGTTGTTGTATAGATTGTAAAACCAGACACAATATACATGGTAAAATAATTTTTGGGAGAAAGTAATAACTTCTCCCAATAGTACTTGTTGTACTAAAAATAAGGATACAACCAAATGTTTTTCCTTCACATGAACGTCAAGCCATCAACCTGTCCTTTAAATATTAACTATGAAATTGCCCATTACAGTTTTAAAAACTACTAGATCTTATTTTTATTCATTTATTTATTATCATTATTCCCTAGTTTAGATAGATGAAAATTTAAATCATAAAACGCGATTTTGATTCTGATTCTTTGAACCATAAAGCATGGTTCTGATTTAGGGTTCAGATTATAAATTATGTTTCTCTTTTGGGGGTAAAAAATACCTTGTTGTAAACTATTATATCTTCAACATCAAAACAGTAAAATTCAAGGAAAACATAGATTCCATTATTTACTTGAGATGCACGTTCTTACCAATTTGTGGGTATTATCAAGGGTGACCCATTTTCCACGTAGTACCACATGACCAATTTGATTCAAACACGAGTACAATTAAATTCTCAAAAATGATGTTTTACTTTACCAAACCAAAAAGTTCACCTAATTTATTAAATTAGTAACATATTATAAGAAAATGATATACTACTGTTTTTCTAATACGAAAGAAAATTACTCACGGACGTGAATAGTGACTTACTACGAATTTGTTGGGCATCCATTATTGACTTAAGTGATCATCTACAATTTTTCACATCTTCCTTTAGCCACCTCAATGTTAATTACCTCTGTGGCAGATTGCCGTCCTTCATTGATCACACTAGCATCTCCAGGTCATATAATCTTTTGCCGTATGGTGGCGGTGCCACCGTCGCCGTTGGTGGTGGCGCTGCCGCCGGAAGGCCGTTGTTGGACTATTTTATTTTGGAGAAAACTATGCTCTCTAACCTCCTCCAAAAGAACCAAATTAATGAGATCAAGTCCTGGCAACACATGATCACTTAATTAGTTTCTCCAATTTGATTATGCAATTAAGCCTTTGAAACCTTTTTCGTTGGGCATGTTTTTCCTGCATACAACTTCCCTAAGGAAATCCTCCTTTTTAGCGCAACTTCTCTTGTTTTTTGGTACAATAAAATAGGTCAAAACCTAGTAACAAGAGACTAAAACATTTTGAGGGTAAGAAACACCAACAACATATTTTAATCACTGTGTACTTCAACTAGCGAAACAAACAAGCATTGTAATCCTCCCAAACTTCGGGAAGCAATATCCAAGCCATCCGCGGCAACCTTTCAAGCAGTCTTTATGCAGTTCCTAATTAACCAAGTTAGGTTTTCTTCCCAGACAAGAAAAATTTAATTCGCCTTCAGATATCTATGTGAAAATGCAAAAAACACATCATTAGTATGTACTCCCTCTGTCCCAAAATTATTGTCCAGTTTGAGTTTTCACTTTTAGTACAATTTGAACTAGAAATGAAAATCCAAACTGGACAATAATTATGGGACGGAGGGAGTACAACAATGACCGATTGAGACCGAAGAAAATCAATAGTACCACATGCTATATTCACAAATTTGTCAATCATTCGTCATTAATTAGCTAACTAAAATTTTTTGCCCCAAAATAGCTACCATTTTGGAGTTCACTTTTAGTCAGTACAATTTAAACTAAAAGATAAAATCAAAATTGGATAATTATTTTGGGACGAAAAAAGGTATATCATTTGTTATTGTATATCTTAACCGCACTAGCTAATGAATAACAAACAGGGAAATCAACCGTTTCTATTGTTACTTTGATCATAAACTGGGGTAAACCATAACAAGCAGCTGATGTTTGTAGAACTATAACATGTTAACGCGGGCACAACATCTAAAATGATAACAAACACAAATCTCTTCAAAGTATGAATTAAGATAACAAAACAAACTACACGCCCAAGTGAATATTAATTCTTGGTTATATATAAATGTTGCCTATCAACAGTTCCAACCTCCCTCTCTCCAGAAATGCGTCTTCCTTTGTTGTAGCAATGGGAAAGCAAAACTGCCCCTCAATTCCCAAAACCATAACATATGCGTGCAATGCATTTCAATTCAAAACTACAACCTGAGTTTTGTTGTTGAATCCCCAAAACATCCTCCTTGATATTTGAAAGGATTCGAATTCCTCTTCAACGTAAGTGAAAAATTAATCTAGATCATTTTCTTCCTTTCCTCAACGAAAGATAAATTAATTTACTTGTTAAGATGAAAGCTTCATATGTGGACGTATCGGAGTAATGATTCCAGACACCAAATCTGACATAATGCATTATAAAATGGAGATTTTTATTCATATACTACGTACTTAATCAGTAAAGTTATGGATGCATGGACAGTAAGTTATCATAGGAGTGCAATTTTTCCACGATAATACAGTATGATTGTACAAAATTCCTCGTTTGACTTACACGGCATGACAAACACGATTATAATTTGTATAGATCACCCGTATCTAACTTTAACTATTTTATATTTTACTCTGCTTCTTTTTAGAGTTAATACTCTAAGGTACATTTTTTTTTTTTTTTTTTTGTTACTTCGTTCAGTACCATTTCTAACACTCGTTCTATAACTTCTTACATTTTGTTAAACAAGTTTAAAACGAAAATGAAAATATAATCATCCAGAAACAAGTCCAAAATATTTAGAAGATGGTGAGCTTAATGACCTATTTTCTCGAGAGTAAAGTCTCCATTTGCTTCTCAGTCAAGATTTTCTCTTCATGCACGAACTTCGGCGGTTCAAGCAATTTTACCTGTCATCCGAAATAATGTGATTTAATTATATAACTAAATTAAAAGGAAATGCTGAATAGTACTATACTATAATATTATTGTTAAAATGGCTAGGGTCAAATGCACATGATGAGAAGATCCTCCTCAAAGAAAGTGCCCTCATCCTCCTCCTTCTTCTTCTTCTTCTTCTTCTTCTTCTTCTTCTTCTTCTTCTTCTTCTTCTTCTTCTCAAATAAACTTAAGACTCCCTGCACTTCAATTATTACTATATAATGCGAGAATCTTGATATCGTGGTGAAAATAATTGTACAAGTTTACTTATTGCATTTAAATTATGATTAACCTGAAAAGTAGGAGAAAGAGAATAAACGAGAGTAATAGGATGGATATGATCGAAAGGATTTGTCTTGTAGAATGAGAGGGGTTTGGAAATGGAAATACAAGGTTAAAAAAGGGGTTAAATGTATAGTACTAGAAGATGATAACATTTAGGAGAGAAGGGGAAATGTTGAGAAGAGCAACAAAAATGGTGAAATAATAGGAAAAAGAGATGTTCTTCTATGGATTACTTCTTTTTTCTTTTGTATTCATCACAACTCCCGCCATCATCACTTCACTTTGATTCTTTCTTCTTCTTTTTTTTTCCGTGTCTTTGAATTTTAAGGTCATGAAAAACCTTATAAATTCCATGCATATACACTAATATTATTTTACTTAGATGTGTGTAATATAATAGAGTATTTGGGATCAGGTTGAATAAGATTTTTTATTTGAGATGGAGTGATCATTACAGAATACTTCATTATAGGCTTCTTTTTTTTTTTAAAAGGTACCTGTATATTAGTTAAGAAGTATCTAAACTATTACATCGCATTCTATAAAATGCTAAATTATATGTAGTTCTACGACATCTTACCTACTCACTTTAATCAGTGAGTAAGACTGAAATAAAGAAATACAAGTAACTAATAAAGAGACTACCTCCTGGGCCTTAGAAGGTATTAAGGCAAACAGTAAATCTCCAGTCAAAAATTCACAGTCCGTATAAACTTGAAGTCGAGTGATGCCTAAATGTAACGCCTCTTTCTATGTACGTTAAAACGTTTGATTGGTGGTAAATTAAACGTTCAATATTCAATCAGCTTTCTTTTCCTGTTTCTATCAGGGCTAGGAGCCATTCCCATGTAGCTGTATATTCTGGAACTATATTGATGATGTGATGAGGAAATCATTTCTTTTCCTATTTCTATCAGGGCTAGGAGCCATTCCCATGCAGCTGTATATTCTGGAACTATATTGATGATGTGATGAGGAAATCATTCATGCTAGTGATCAAATGGATGGATAAAGTTCACCTTCAATATCCTTTATCCAATATGAGAGCG